TGAGCAAGCTGCAAGCCAAGCTGGTCAAGGACACTGGTGGGGCTGGAATGGGAGGAAGGAGGGAGCAAGATCAGCAGCTCCTGCTGTGGGATGCAGGAGCTGAAGATGGTTAGAGGTGGAGAACAATGAGTGGGGCATTTTATGATTGCTATGTTAATAACCAATTCTATGGTGTGTAAGGTAGGCTAGGAACTGCAGTTAACCAATGCTAAGTGGGCGCTTATAATAGGTGTGTCTGAAAGAATCACTTCTGTAAATAATAAAGTTAGTCAGGAGATAATAACGGCGTCGCCTCTTTGTACATGAGCTCCCACAGATTGGAGCCAGATTCGAGCCTGGAGGTTTATTCTTGGACTGAGACCGAAATCAAGGAGCACAGGGAAGTTCTGGGAGCAGAGAAAGATCCTCCAACCCCATCCGGGGTGAGGATCCTTCAGGATTGAGTCAAGTAGTGCAGAAACTGTTGGAGAACCTCAGGCAAGGTCCTGGTCCTGCCCCATGGAGGGTCAATCCGTGGGATCCTCGTCCCACTCCTGGTTGCACAGGTCGGTCTCGCAGCAGGAGTAACGTGAGGTCAGGCGCGACTCGGCGTCGGACGCGCGTTCCCGCCCGCAGTTCAGGGCGGAAGTGCAGGTTTGCTGGTAGTAAAGGGTCACCTTTCCTGGTGGGAATGGACAGGTAGAGGTCATGGGGAGAAGGAAGCAAAAAAAAAATCCCAGTTTGGAGTCACCTGATGAAAAAATAACCCAACAACCCCCTGAGTTATCCCACCCAGAGGAAATCACACCTTGGCCGGGTTAGGAGAACGTGATGATGGAGGGATGAGCCGAGAGAAAAATCCCACAGGGACTCGTTGGGATGGGGAGTCTCTCCTTGGCCTAGAAGGGACTTCTAAAAACTCTTCAGGAGAACCTCCATGAAGAGGAGCAACTCAACCCCTTGTGTTGACACTTTCCTGCAGCTTCATCCGAACATCCTCAGCCGCTCACAGAATCCACCTGGGCCCAGAAGGACCTTCTTGCCCCAAGGGCAAGGGATGGGTTGACCACCCCCTACTCACCCAAGGTGGTTTTGATGATGGCACATTTCTCCCTGCGCTCGCAGCTGGTGACGTTGGCTCCGCGGAAGCAGCCAACGTACGGAATCTTGTACTTGCAGACGTGGCATTGGAGAGCCTCAACTGCAGCAGAGGAGAATAAGGTGTGAACGTGGAGGTTTAACCAGTAGAGCCATGAGGAAGTTCTATCCTGGAGAAGATGGAGTGGGGAGATACCACCACCAACCACCTCTACCCTTTAAGGAACTCACTTTCCATGGATTCCCAAATTTTCCGTCTCCACTCACCGGCTGCAATGCACAGGATGAGGCTCAACCCTAGCAAGAGCAGCTTCATCTCCAGGTCTTGTCCTCCAGCTGCTTCCTAAGTCCAGCCTAGTTTTCCCTGGAATGAGAACAGATCAGGTGTTCATTCCTGTCACGAGTTCTGTCCATGCTTAGCCTCGGAGAGAATGAAAAAAAAAACCCAACCAGACTAAATTTTCCCAGTGTAGAAGTTTGTGTTGTGCCTTTTTTTTTTTTTTTCAATTGGGGGGGACAATCCTGCAGCCCCTACAAAAAAAAAAACCCTGAAAAAACCAGGGAATTCTCTCTGGTTTTCATCCCAAGGGAATAAAATGATTTTATAGGGGGAAACACCCCCCCCCCCATTTTTTTCCATGTACAGAATTTGTTTCACTTCTTTCTCTTCCCTAGACACAGTGGGAGAAAGTGAACCCCAAAACCAGGAAGATTTGAGGCAAAAATGGGGGAAAAAGTCAGATGCAAGGAAATAAAGGGCAAAATAAATCAGATTTGGGGAACAAAAAGGCAAAAGTTATTTGGTCATGGGAGCTCCAAACAACAACCCTGAGGTGAAGAATCTCATACTCTACTGACTGAGCAAAAAAATCCCTCATTTCCATCCATTTTTTATCCCTAAAAAGAGGTAAAATTTATGCCAGTTTAGTGGTAGTCAAGTGGAAGGAGTTAGGAGGTTTTGGGATGGGGCCAGAAGACATGGAACAATGACACAAAGAGCTCCCCAAAACCCCAGAGAAGACTTTGCTCCTTACCAGATTCCGCGTTCCCCTTCCGTGGTCGGAGCTCCCGTTGATCCCACGATCCCACAGCCTTTATCCTGCTCCCCGAGGCAGGACCTGAACGACCTCAGAGCCACCAGGACTCATTGTTTGGTGCGAACAATGCTCTGGGACACACACCTGGGCAAACACCTCACCAAACCTGGAAAGACCTTCCAAGAGCAACTTCCCTGGAGCCTTTGATCTCTTGGTGTTGGGAAAACATCTCTAGGTCCAACTTGAATCCACTCAAAGTACCCCAAGAAGCAACACAATCCATGGGCTGCACGTGGTAGAGATGTCCAGAGGATATCAGAGCCTGTTGGGTTCATGGTCAAGGTGGGATCTTCTGTCTGGAGGGTCGATCTGTATGGTTACAGCTTTAATTAGTGATGTGTTACTTGGGAGATGATTAATGGACCTGTCTACCTGCCCTAGGTTATTCCCTTAGGCCTCAACGGTGCAAAGTCACCGCGATGTTTGGGCAGGTGTTTGTGGGTTGGTAGCACCAACAGAGACGATGCCGACGACTTCTCAAGCATGAAACTTCTGGAGGAACTCCAAAACCTTCGGGGCACAAACCAAAGTGCGAATCCTCTCCGGGGTCCACAGATGAAGCTCTTGGAGGTTTTGGACCTTCTCCATCAGCCTTGAAGCCTTCAAAATTACTCTCTTGGAGCTTCAAA